TCAAGTTAAAAATTGAAATAACTCATCGGGTTTTTTAACAAAGGCCTTAAAACAGAGACTAGAATTAAGAGGATAGTATCTATTAAAATTTAAAGCAGAATGAGAGGTTCAATTAAATGTTTTCCAGACTCACAGTAGTTCAGAGACTAAAGTTTTTCTAATAAAAATTTCAATAATTTGATTTACAAAAATTAAGTTAACTGTTCAATTTTTTTGATAATAACCGACAAAAATGATTAAAAAAAAAATTGCAATATTTCTGGAAGTTTTTTTTAAATTTTTCTCATCTTGAAACCTCATTGCGCTATAGAATATGTACCCAGATCAGGGGTTGGCAAACTTTTAAGCTGGAAGAGCCATTCGCAATAAAAATACTGACTTATAAATTTTAAAGAACCACGAAATTTTAATTCGGCTTTTACAAGTTTGAAATTATGTTAAAAAGTCAATGCGAGCGGTGACCTTGCATTTCTCTAAAAAGCTTTATCCAGTACATAACTAGTTTTTTTTTAGTTTAAGATTTTTGTTAGTTATTTGACCTCTTAGCTTGTTCTTTATTAAGTACTTAGAAGAGAAAGCGTGTTCCCACGAATATATTTACTCAATGATTGGCAGCACAACAAAAGCCAATTTTTTATTTGGTCATAGCATTCCGGAATATTATGTCCAAACGACAACTTCAGGATTACCCGGGAAGATTTCATTGTACCCTTATGAACGGTATTATACCAGCCCTGTAGGGAGCCTACTCTGAACGTTAAAAGAGTAGCATGCAAAATGGCAATAAATATGAAATTATTCGTTAATAAAGTACTAGGCCCAACCTATAAGGTTGTTCGGATAGTCATTTCGTTTTTTTTTTGTGGAAATGAAAGACAGTTTTCGAACAATAAACAAATACTTTATTAAATTATATATTGACCGTTCTGGTCCAACACCTTTTGCCATCTTTCTGGTAGTAGCATAATTCCACGCTCATAAAATTTTTGGTCTTTGCTGGCAAAAAACTGATCGAGGAGGTTTTTGACCTCCTCATTTGAGGTGAAGGT